CCCATGTGCTGCTCTAACTCTGTCAACATAAATATATATTTTTTAATTTGGTTGAAGCTTTTTGACACTTTCATTTCATTTGTTGAACTAATACATGGTAAATGGGATGAATGTTATGTAATATGCTTATATACTCCTAATTTTTGTAGGATCAAAGTAATGTCAAATGCAAGTTATTGCATTGGAAGAGGACAAACTTGGTGGTTGCAGAAGGCCAAATTGCATCAAGGGATCCTAATTCAAAGGTGCATCATGTGACCCTTGGACCTATGTGTTGGAAAGTATGTGTGAACCACGTAACAGTCAATGTGCCGTTGTTTCGCTCGACTCATGAAATGTATGATCTTCAAGATGCAATAGGAAGTACAGTTGCATGGCCTAGTCAATTCATTTTTTTGGACTAAATATTAGAATAAGTGATTTACGATTTGTAGTTATGCTTTTTGGATGTTTAAAGTCCTATTTTAGAGATTAGTGAATCTAATGATTTGGATACTTTTCTTGGTTTGTATGTTTGAGGTTGTTATCAGCTTGATATGATAGAAGTTGAGGATGAAAGTTAGTATGTAGGTTGTTTGGTGTATGGATATTAGATTTTCTTTTGCTTACATCATAGTTGTTGTTTCTGCTTGGTTTGTTCACAGGTTGCATTTTATAAGCTACCGTCTACATACTATTAGGCAATGTTATATTCCTGTATATATATTGTATATTAAAAATAACCTTCTACGACATATAAAATTATGTCATGAAAAATGTAATGATTTATGACATGCAAGAAAATGTTGTAAAAGATTATATACGACATACAAAGTATGTCATAAATATATTAGAAATGACCTTTTACGACATACAAAATTAAGTCATGAAAAGTGTGAAGATTTATGACATGGAAGAAAATATCGTAAAATATTATAGACGGCATACAAAGTATGTCATAAATATATTAAAAATAACCTTCTACGGCATGCAAAATTATGCCATGGAAAATATGATGATTTATGGCATGACAAAAATGTCGTAACAAATTATATATGACATACAAAGTATGTCATTAATGTTTAATTTATTACTTTTAACAATTTTACCTGCATGCCATAAATGACACTCAACTTTCCACGGCATGTCATATAACGACATTTGTGTGCTTGCCGTGAAAATTTTTTTACGACATACATTACAAGCAGTAAAAATTCAGTTTTGTTGTAGTCCATTCTTACTAGGCATTGGAATTTGAGTAAGCCTTAGCTGAGCTAAGCATCAGAAATTGAGTAAGGCTTAGTCGAGCTAAGCATTGGAAATTGAGTAAGGCCTAGTCTTACTACACATTGAAAATTGAATAAGCCTTAGTTGAGCTAAGCATCAAAAATTAAGCCTTAGCCGAGCTAAGCATCGGAAAATGAGTAAGCCCTAGTCTTACTAGGCATTGGAAATTGAGAAAGGCTTAACCGAGCTAAGCATCAGGAATTGAGTAATCCTTAGCCGAGCTAAGCATCAAAAAATAAGTAAGCCCTAGTCTTACTAGGCATTGGAAATTGAGAAAGTCTTAACCAAGCTAAGCATCAGAAATTGAGTAATCCTTAGCCGAGCTAAGCATTATAAAATAAGTAAGCCCTAGTCTTACTAGGCATTAGAAATTGAGTAAACCTTAACCGAGCTAATCATCAGTTGAGATAGCAAATGAATCACCTATAAAACATGGCTTATAGATATAGCTCAAACTTGTGCTACCTATTTGATGTACAGCACATGGATTTGTGCAAACCAAGAATGAAAGAGATAAGATACAATATCAAGGATGATGGGAAACCAAACAATGCATTAAAACCAATTGCCAACAAAATCGATCTTGCTGAAAATAAGAAAAGGCCTATGGGGGTCTACTTTCGAAGCTTGCTTAAAGGCAGTAGTTCAGCGACTGGGTCATCTAACCAAAGAAAGGAAAGACCTATGATAGTCCTACCAACATAATTGTCCAAAACAGTAGATCAACAAAACAAGAAAGATGGCATATAGAAAATAAGTGACCACATCAGGTGCATTACATAGAAAAGATCATAAGGCACGTGAAAAAGATGTTCACGTTCTATAAATCAAAGGCAAATGAAATCAATTTATCACAGCCATAAGACAAAAATTCATTCGATTATAGAAGTAACAAAGATAAATGAGTCTATCAGGGATAAGAGAGAAATTTCCACTCTTTCTCACTTCGATCGACTAAAGCGAAAACTTGTGGGCAATTACGGAGAGATAAAAACTAATCATGTTAAGTGGGTCTACCCAATGCCTACATAGAAATAGAAATAAGGTAATAAAATAATAACTTGCAATGTAACTTACCAACTTGCCAAGTTGCTCTAATATACATGCATCAGACGGATTTCGGGGCATACAAGTGGTTTACTTTTATTGGACCAAATTAGTGGCTTAAGCTCATTGGACAAAACGAGTGGCAAGTTAGCCTATATAAAATGGTGTAATCTTCAACATCAGGAGAAGTATGCCTGAACTACTTCTTTTACTTGTTCAATTTCATTTAGATTTATGTTATCTAACTTGATTGCCGGAGTGCCTTTGGCCTGCAACCGTCAGTCGGGAGGCACAAATTGTTTATTCTTTTGTAGATTCAGAACGGTGTAGCTCAATTCTTCGTTGATCTCTCGATTAATATTTCTGGGACAATTTATGCTTCCACAACTAAAATACTCATTTTTTAATTGATTTTACTTAACGAAAATAGATAAATGATTTAAATTAAAAATAAATAAAAAAATTAGAATTTAAATTGATAAAATTAAAAATACAGGTTTATTTTGCTACAAGACTCTAAACCTAGGATTTTTTTGTTTTTAATTTATCCTAAGTATTTTAATGTAACCATCCTTCTATTCCACTCCATTCAATTGAACCAAACACTAAGGACTCATTTGGGAAGTTGGCTATGTTATTTGGCTTTGTGCCTTTTTTAGGTTGACAAAAAAAATTGTATTTGAAAAATTGATTGGTTTTTTTTTTTTTTTTTTTTTTTATAGTTGATTTGATAGTTGTGATAAAAAAAATGAAATGATTATGATTTGAATATGAAATTTTGCCTTATGAACTATTGTAGTTTATTTTATCTTTAGTAGCTATTTTAGTCCAAAATCATCTTTTCAAATGGGGCCTAAATAAAAAGTGAGTGGAGAGACATACTACAAATTCATAGCCACACATGTCCTGTTTGTTTTCAAAGGTAAGAGGTATAGTATTATTAATGTGGAGATTATTACTGAGAGAATTATTGATATGAAAATTGTTATTGAGTGAATTATGAAAAATTATATTTATTTGTGATATATTTTAATGAGGAAATTAACTATATAAAATACCATATATATTCTTTTGCAGTGTTTGATATATTTTAATATTAAAAATTATATTTTATAAATATATTATTATATAAAATTATTTTTATATAAAAAATATAAAATAATGATTTCTTCAAAAACCAACCCACGGTTTCTCCAAACCAGCCCATTGTTTTGAAAAAGTGTATTTCATCCCATTCACACAATTGAATAGAGATGTTGCTTCATATTGAAGTATGAAAAATTATATTTGTTTTTGATATATGTTTTGAAAAAGTGTATTTCATCCCATTCACACAATTGAATAGAGATGTTGCTTCATATTGAAGTATGAAAAATTATATTTGTTTGTGATATATTTTAATGAGAGGATTAACTATTTAAAATATCATATATATCTTTTTGCAGTGTTTGAAATATTTTAATATGAAAAGTTATATGTTATAACAACAATAATTCATCCCATTAAAAACACCACCACTAATAGCACTAATGCATTAAAAAAATAAAAAAAATAAAAAAAAAATACAACTCTAAGACCAAAACATCACATCATTAATGGCGAGACCTACTGTCACCTAATTAGTGGGAGCACTAATTAGTGCTCCCAAGTATTTTTCATGTTATAAATATATTACTATATTAAATTAATTTTATATAAAAAATATAAAATAATAATTTCTTCAAAACCAGCCCACAGTTTCTCCAAAACCAGCCCATGGTTTTGAAAAATTATATTTCATCCCATTCACACAATTGAATAGAGATGTGTTGTATTTGTTTGTGATATATTTTGGTGAGGGAATTAATTATATAAAATATTATATATACCCTTCTGATATATTTTAATATTAAAAGTTATATTTTATAAATATATTATTATATTAAATTATTTTTATATAAAAAATATAAAATAACAATTTCTTCAAAACCAACCCACAGTTTCTCCAAAACCAGCCAATAGTTTTGAAAAAGTGTATTTCATTTTCATCCCATTCACACAATTTAGTAGAGATGTTGCCTCATTTTTAATTATGAAATATTGTATTCGTTTGTGATATATTTTGGTGAGGGATTAATTATATAAAATATGATATTCATCTTTTTCAGTATTTGATATATTTTAATATTAAAAGTTATATTTTATAAATATATTATTATCTTTTTTTGTGAGAGAAGAGTGTAATGATTATGGGTTGGATGTGATGTTTTGTTTGTTATGGCTAAAATAGCCTATTTTGTTTTTTGTGGCTAAAATAGCCAAAAAAACCCAACCAACTTCTTCCCAAACGGTGCCTTTCTAGGGCTAAGTTGTCCAAATCCTTTCAAAACTTCACCTACTCTGTCTTTTCTCTCTCCTCCAAACTCAACGTTTAGTTTGAGCCACAGATGTTTGTCATCTCAACACATTTTGGCGGTGTTTGAGAAGAATTTTTTTGGGTTTTTTTTTTTTTTTTTTAACTAAAAGATAAATTTTTTCAAAATTAAAAAAAAAATACATCTAAATAAAATATCACATCTAATTTCATAATTATTTTATGAAATTATTTTATTTTTTCTTTTACAAACATCACGTTCAATTACAAAAAAAAATCTAACCTTCTGAAACACAATTTTTTTTTTTTCCCTATAATATCCGGAGTCCGAACAAACTATTTCTCTATATGAATCCACGAATCCGTAGCACAAGATAACTAGCACAGAGAGAGAAGAAAAGGAGAGAGAGAGAGATGGATAGAGGAAAAGAATTGGCGAAGAAAGATCACTATTCGCATCATTTGCAGAGAGAGATGAGAGGAGGAAAAGAATTGGCGAAGAGAGATCACCATTCGCATCATTTGCAGAGAGAGATGAGAGGAGGAAAAGAATTGGTGAAGAGAGAAGATCACTACTCGCATCATTCGCGGTGCAACGTGAAAAAAGGAAAAGAATTGGGGAAGAGAGAAGATCACTATTCGCATCATTCGCTGCACATCGTGGAAAGAGGAAAAGAATTGGTGAAGAGAGAAAGTCACTCCTCGCATCATTCGTTGCGCATCGTGGAAAGAGGAAAAGAATCGGTGAAGAGAGAATATCACTCCTCGCATCATTCGGTGCGCATCGTGGAAAGAGGAAAAGAATTGGCAAAGAAAGAAGATCACTACTTGCATCATTCGCGGCACAGTGTGGAAAAAAGAAAAGAATTGGTGATGAGAGAAAAACACTACTCGCATCATTGAAAGATCAAATGCTGTAGTTCAGGTTTACCATCGAGTGGAGGTAAGAAATTAAATTATATGTAATTTTATTATTATTATTAATTGGGATTCGAGGTCAATGGGCTCCTTCAATTTGTTTTTATTTTTTTTTAAAAAAAATAATTTATAGTTCGTTTGGATTGATTGATTTGAAGAGGAACGATTGGTCTTAATCACTTGTTTAGATTATTAAAGATGTGATAAATGTGCAAAAATAGAAAGAAAGGAAGATCAATTATTTTCTCTGACAATTCACTTTTTGAATCTTTTTAAAATTGAATAAATTGAGACAGAAAAAAAATAAAATGATTACTAATTTCATGTGATACTAATACTGTATATCTAAGTACTAAACAAATATTTCCCCAATAAAAAATAATTACTAAACAAACAAAAAAAATCATAAAAGGTTGTTTCAGTTATTTAATTTGTAAAGTTTTATTTTATTTTGTTTTTCTTTTTTATAGTCTATTTAAAAAAAAATTAGGGAGAAATCAATATTTTTTTTTTCTCTGCTCTTCAACCTAACCAAACAAGAGAGCGAGAAATCACAATCTTTTTCTTTTTTAATTTTTTTTTTCTTTTTCAAAAGAAGTGAAAATAGAATATTGAGACTAAATTCTGTTGAGACCAAAATTAGACTACAGTTGAGGGGTTGTTGGCTCACTCCAAGCCAACATTAAGCGACTTACAATTTCCAAAGTATCACTCTCATATTATTCTTGTAAAATATTTTGGGTAAATTGTCAATAGATGTTAATAATTTGACTTAATTCCTATCAAGGCTTATTAAAAATAAATCTTGGTAAAATTATCGTGAAAAAAAAATTTTGTGACAATTTTTTTACATGTATCGTTAAAAATTGATAATTAGTGATTTTTTTTGTCATGATTTTTATAAATTGTCGCTAACACTTACAATTAGTAATTTTTTTTATGACAAATTTTTTTTATAAGACCTATTAAATAATAAGTCCACTTACTAACCTAAATTTTTTTATATAATTTTGTTTTTGAATCTTGTTAACATATGCTTTAAGGATAAAAAAAATAAGAATTATAATGTGAAGAGGTAAAATGAAAAAATAAATAAAAGAGGCATTTTTTTTTTTTTTGGGTGAGTAAAAAAATATTTTTGGGTGAGTAAAAAAACATTTATAAGTTGAGATCGCATTTAAATTTAAATAATGTTATATGTATTAATTTAAATTTTTGTAATTTATATAATGAGTGGGATCATAATTTCAAAATGATAATTTCATAACTATGTTAGTACACTAATTATTATACCAATTGATACATATAACATTATTTATTTTTTACTATTTCTATATAAGTGGGGGTAATTATTCTGATTTAATGCTTTTTCAACATATATGTTAGCAAAAAGTTATTTATTTATTTATTTGTAAATCATTTCCCTAAACCAAGTAACTGGATCAAATTTATCTGGTAACTATGATTTCAAGACCATCTATTGCTTGTTAAATATCTTACTTTCAATAGAAAAATGTTTGAGGGCCGGAAATGTGAGGGTCGAATGCGGCTCGAACCTTAAAACGTAAGATTTAAAATTTTTTTTTTTCTTCTTTTTCTTCCTCTTCTTTCTTTTCTTCTTCTTCTTCGTTTTGAACCTGAGAAGCAGAGGCGAGAGAGAGAAACAGAGGGGAGAGGTGGGAGCTCGTCGTCGGTCGTCGGCCAATCGTCACAGCTCGTCGGTCGTCTGCCGATCGTCGCCTCTGCCTCCGCCCGCCTCCGCCTCTGCCTCTGCTTCCGCCCGCCTCCACCTCCGCCTCCCTCCGCCTCCGCCTCTAGCCCTATTTTTAGGGCCCGCTCCAGTTCTGCTTCTCCTTCTCTTCTTCCTCCTTGTCTTCTTCTTCTTCTTCTTCTTCTTCTCAAATTCGAGCCAAATTTGGCTCGAAACCCTTTCGGGCTCTGTAACAGAGCTCCTTTCAATATCTAATCAACATTTCCTACATGATCTAATCAACATTCTTACATGAATTGACAAAAATCTTAGGAAAGGAACCACTACGGTACCTGGGCACTGATGCACCTCAGAACAGTTTTATTTTAATAATAATAATAATTTCACAGTGGGCCTACAGTCCCTCAATTTGGGTGATTCTATTTGCACTTAAATAATAAGTATGACCAAATAAAATTTAAAATTTAATTTTTATTATATTTTAATATAAATTTATTAATAAAAACAATACATATTAAACTCTAAATAAAATAATTTTTTTCTTTATAGTACACTCTAATCATTCATACGTATTCTTCATAGAAAAATGTTTAAGGGCCACAATTTTTGTGACTCAAATGGCTTGAAATTGCCAAAACAACGTCGTTTTGGCAATTTTGAAGTTGTTTTGTACTCAAACGACGTCGTTTTGACAATTTCGAGCTATTTGAGCCACAAAAATTGTGGCCCTCAACCATTGTTGTTCTTCATATTCAAGTTTATTCATCTTCTTTCTTAAGTTTTAATTATTTTCTTTCTATCTTCTTTTTCATTCGAAAACTCCAATCTATCTTATCAGAACTCACTGTTATCATCAATATCATTATTTCTTATTGAGTTATTACTTACAAATAGAAGAAAATTTGAACAAAATCAAATAATGGAAGAGAATAAAAATTAAAATTATTTTTTGAAACAATTTATCAAAAATGAGGTAAGTATTCACATAAATATCAAAATATAATTTTTGGTTTCTGTATTTTTTTTTTTTTATTATGTAAAAAACATATTGTAGGAGTCATACTGCCCACACAACAAGATATCAAGAAGTACAGAAAAATTCGTTCAAAAAAAGAAAAAAAGCCCAGAAAACACAGGCATACCTCCACTAAACTAGTAACCAATTTTCTGTCTTTTTGTTCTTGCCTTGATATTATGATTTCTAGTTTTGTTGCAGGAGTTCGATGAAGTTCGGGTTGCCGTCTTGAAGCTTCTTTGTTTGGGATAAGTTGTGGTACTTGGTGTTGTGCATGTTGTTTCTTGTTGGTCGTTTTAGTAGTTGCTTTCTTTTCTTTTCCTAGTCTGGTATATCATTGTATGTGGCACTCTATCTATGGTTATTAATACAATTTTATCTTTTCTCAAAAAAAAGAAAAGAAAAAAGGCCTACTCTCTCTCCATATTATATGTACTCATTTATTTATATATACATCATCGTTTGCAGCTTAATTTGATTTGAAAGATGTGAAAGTTTCGATCTTGATTTTATTTTAATTTTATTTTTATTTTTAATTAACAAGAAGAATGGTGAATCTGCCACCAAGGAGGAGTAAATTGGAGATTGAGATATGTTTTTGTTGAATTACAATCAGTTTTGTCTGATTTAATTATGTTTTACTATGATGTTGTTTTCTTAGCTTAATTTTTTACTAGTTTTTTGATAGTTTGTTTTTTTTTTATTAGCAAAAGAAATTTTTTTATTGATGAACCAAAATAGTATTACATCAATGAAAAAAGCGATGAGAGCAAATAGCATCAAAAACAAACAAATCAATCCTAACTAGGTTGGCACCGATAAATCCGCCCTATCATCTACAAGAACATCAAAAGTTGGTGAGAAACCAACCACAAAAAACCTCACCCAAAATGAAACTAAACAAAACCAATACAGCAGCCCACCACTGACCCAAATCTGCTGCAACTGCTACTTACCATGACCATGACAGACAACTACTCATGTTCTTCCTCCCACACAGATCTACCCTTGGAGTGTGAAAACTTTGCAACTGGAGCTTGGAAGCTTGTGCTCTATTAAGACAAAAATTTCAGCTTTTGCCCCACATTTCTATTGCAAAACATTTTGCCATCAAAAAAACATCTGCAGCAGCAATTCCTGCAACCATACTAAAACCACCTCCCCTGCCACCAGAAAGCAACAGCAACCAGGACAGCCTCCAAATCAACTAGTTTATATCTGCACCTCATAAGCTCCTGGCTCTCTATGAATCCTTGCTGCTTGAGATTATAAAATTGAAATGAAACCAAAGGCAGTCCAACAACAAACAAAGACACTCAGCCCAGCAACGACTTCAACTGATAGGTATGGTACGAATTTGCTGCAAGTTATAGATAAAATCCTGGACTGAGTAAGGGCACCCCTTCGAGTAAGCGTTGACCCAGAATGCCACCCTTGCCTTAATTAAATCGCTAAAATCATCGAGTCGAAGTTGCCTTCCACTAAAAATTATTTCATTCCTAAGTTTCCAAACCGACCACATGATTGCCAATGGAATCACCTTCCAGATTCTAGCTTCAAAATTTCCCCATTTAAATCCCAACCACCAATGAAGCAAGTCTTCAACACTACCAGGCAACACCCACTGCACACCCCACCATTGCAACAATCTTGACCAAACTTGCCAAACAAAGGGATGCCAGAGTAAAACATGGGGAACTGATTCGTCCTCATTCCTACAAAAAACACAATTAAGTGAAGCACTTTGATGCAGCACTCCAATCTTGTGTAGAAAAACAGCAGTCTTTAATCGGCCTCTCCAAGCTAGCCAACAAAGAAATTGGACTTTTGGTGGAGCCACCTTGTTCCAGATCAATCCAGTGCACACCATGGGAGTGCTGGAGACATACATTCTCAACAGGGAGGCTACACTAAATTGTTGTGATGGACATGCCAGCCATTTCAAACAATCATCGCTCCCCACTGCCCCCCAACTCAACCTGATTCAAAAGTGATACCAACCTGACTAATTCCTCGGCCTCCCATGCAAATAATGACCTTCAAAAATTTATGTTTCAGTCCCTTAATATTCTTCCTGTGTCAAATAATGCACTTAAGGAGATATCTTTTTCTGTTGACAAACTATACAATCTCGGAAACTCCAACCGAATGCTCTGCTGCCCAAACCATTGATCAGACCAAAAGTGAATCATGCTCTCATTTCCCACAACCAGCTTAGAATTACGAAGAAAAATGCTCAGCAAAAGAGGGTTTGATTGGCCAACACTTAAGATCCCACCCCATATTTTAGAACAAGAATCTCCAGGGCATGAAAATCGCAACCATCTCCCACCACTAAACTTATACCTGCTGCACAGAACTCTCTTCCACAAAGAGTTATCTTCAACACCAAAATGCCACCACCATTTGGCTAATAGGCAATCATTTACATCCTTTAACTTTCGGATCCCCAGCCCTCCCTGTTCTTTGCTGATAGTAATCTCCTCCCACTTTACCATATGCATCTTTTTCCTTAACTTCGTCCCACCCCAAAGAAAAGCAGCCCGCAAACAGTCAATGATCAAGATCACAGACTGAGGCATCTTGAAGATGGATAAATAATACACAGGTAAGCTAGATAGCACATACTTAATGAGAGTCAGACCACCCCCAAAAGATAGTAGTTTCCTTTTCCAGGATGCCAACTTGGCCTTTACCTTGTCAATCACTGGTTTCCAAGTTTTCTTTAATCTAGGACTAGCACCAAGAGGCAAACCAAGATAAGATAGAGGAAGGCTTTGACTCATACAATTAAGCCTACTAGCACACTCCAATACCACCTGCTCAGATACCCCAACTCCACACACAGCTCTTATAGAAGTTTATTTTCAACCCTGAAACTAACTGAAAACATCTAAAAGCCCTAAAAACACAGGCATACCTCCACTAACTAGTAACCAATTTTCTGTCTTTTTGTTCTTCCCTTGATATTATGATTTCTTGTTTTGTTGCAGGACTTCGATGAAGTTCGGGTTGCCGTCTTGAAGCTTCTTTGTTTGGGATAAGTTGTTGTACTTGGTGTTGTGCATGTTGTTTCTTGTTGGTCTTTCTAGTAGTTGCTCTCTTTTCCTAGTCTATTAGATCATTGTACGTGGCACTCTATCTATGGTTATTAATACAATTTTATCTTTTCTCAAAAAGAAAAAAAAGGCGTACTCTCTCTCCATATTATATGTACTCATTTATTTATATATACATCATGGTTTGCAGCTTAATTTGAATTGAAAGATGTGAAAGTTTCGATCTTGATTTTATTTTAATTTTATTTTTATTTTTAATTAACAAGAAGAATGTTGAATTCCGAGGAGGAGTAAATTGGAGATTGAGATATGTTTTTGTTGAATTACAAACAGTTTTGTCTGATTTAATTATGTTTTACTATGATGCTCTTTTCTTAACTTAATTTATTTACCAGTTTTTTGATAGTTTATGAAGCAACAATGGTTGCCAATTCAAGATTTTTAATTTGCAAGAAGAATAATTTGTGAATTAATATAGGATATATTAAGAGTAAATTATAACTCTAGATAATTTAATAGAGAGTACTAAGAAATCGGACTCACTGAATAATTTTTTGAGCCTAAATAGAATCCCCACTCAATTGGACTTTCTAGTTCCACTAGAGGGAAGCTTTATTTTAAAAAGTTAACAATAATTAGATTTATTACACTTTCTACTATTAAATTATTATCGAATTATTTATTTAGTTTTTAAATCATCAATTCATAAAGTATATAAATTAAAATTTATTTAGCCCCTAAACTATCGATTAAATTTACTAAATTCCTAAAATATTTAATTTAAACCTATTTAGCCTCCGTTTGGCAAGAGCTTTTCCAGGCTTTTTTGGCTATTTTAGCCACAAAAAACGAAATAGGCTATTTTAGCCATAACAAACAAAACATCACATCCAACCCATAATCATTACATTCTTCTCTCACAAAAAAACTCAAAAAAGTCAAAAAGCCAAAAAGCCCTCAAAAAAGTCAAAAAGCCAAAAAGCCCTTCCCAAACCAAGCTTTTAAGCCCAGGCTAAAATAGCCAAAAAAGCCAAAAAGCCAAAAAGCCAATCCACTTCCCAAACGGAAAAGATTACAAAATAAAATATATGCCTATGAGTATTATAAATTAGAAAAAGACCTTACACAATTAAGTATTTTTCTTCAAAAAATATTCTATTTCATTGTGTGCTTAAATTAGTATTAGATATATTGAATAAGTAGAATTAGATAATTTAAATAATAATACATCGCTATAAATAATAATAGAACAAAATATATTAACTAAGTTATAAAAAGCACTTAGCGGAAACCTTAAAGACAATTAATTAGAAATTATAAATGAAATCCGATATATAGTACTAAATAAAGGCAAGTAAGTAGCTATGGTAGAAAATAAGTAAGAAAATACTATAGATAATTACCCTTATATCCTTACAAAGAAAATTCACCCAGAAAAGCTAACACCCACTTTTCAAATACAGAATAAAAAAAGGTTTTTTTGAAATAAACTTTTAAATAGATAAGATCTTTTATTAATTTATAATACTTATTAGTTATATTTTATTGAGCAAATTACACTAACAGTTCTTATAGTTTGGGGCTCGTATTACTTTGGTCCCTAACTTTTCAATTATGACATATTTGACCATGAATTTTGAATTTTATTCCAAATAAGGACAATTGAATATACCATTACTTAATTTCAAGGGAAAAATTATTAATTTGATAAAATATAAACTAATTTGACAAACATAAATGTTAAAAAAATATTTTTGAATTTCTAAAAAATTACCAACTAAAGATAAAATTATGTAAAATTAATAAATCTTTTAGACGTTTATTTATTTATTTTACCAAATTAATTTTTGTTATGTGTTTGGATGATTATCATGTAATGGGTAGTTGTTAAAATTTTAATGTGTAATAGATATATTTAATATATGAAATGTTTTTAGTTTTGGATTTTTTGATTTAATGGATTGGTTTAATAATGATATCAAGGTTGTCTCCATATTTGGCTTTTGGAAAAATAAAAACTAATTTAATGAAAATAAAAACAATCACACATTACATGATCATCATCCAAACATATAATAGAAATTAATTTGGTAAAATAAATAAATAAATAAATGTCGAAAAGATTTATCAATTTTACATAATTTTATCTTTAATGGGTAAAAATAACTTTTTAAAATTCAAAAATATTTTTTGACATTTATTTTTGACAAATTAGTTTACATTTTATTAAATTGATGATTTTGCTCTTGAAATTAAGCAATATGATCTTCAATTGTCTTTATTTATAATAAGATTCAAAATTCAGGTTCAAATGTGTCATAATTGAAAACTCAGGGACCAAAGTGACATAAATCCCAAACTATAGGGGCCGTTAGTTTAATTCACCCTATTTTATTTTTGTAATCATTTCGAAGACTAAATATATTAGAATTAAATATTTTAAGAACTTAATATATTGAATCGATAGTTTATGGACTAAATAGACTTGATTTATATATTTTAGTGTTTTAATAGATTCAATCGGTAGTTCAGAGTGTCTTAATAGATTCAATCGATAGTTCAGAGACTAAGTATATATAATTTGGCGATAGTTTAGGGATATAAAATATATATATATTTTAAATAACGAAAAAACTTTATTGATGATCATCAAGCAACGCAATTATAAGAGATAACGTCAATAAAGACCAAGTTGGAGACCAGAATAACAACATCTAGAGATTACATAGCAACAAAGACAAAAATACAGTACAAACTCCTTACACCCTTCTTCCTTTAATGTTCTCCCTTGCCTAAGATTTAGCACAAAATCCTGAACTGAAAAACTATGATCTGAGTAATATGGTCTCAACCATAATGCAACTCTTAACTTATATTACTTCACATAACTCAGCCACATTAGGGACTAGTGCGTTGAACACAACATTTCTAAGCTTCCACAAGGACCACAACACAACCAGAGGTATGCCCCGCCAAATCTATCTCTCCTTACTGCTGAGCCTCTTCCCATCCCACCATAGAAGTAACCCTTCAACAGATCCAGGTAAGGCCCCTTGAACATCCCATCAATTTAATTAGCATTCCACAGGTAAGGCGCCTTGAACATCCAAGTGTAATAAACCTATACAAGTTATAAAACAGATATATCACCATGGTGACATAATAAATTAATGATAAATTACCATGAAAACATAATAAATCTCATTATCTTGGAATAACCGTGAGTTCACTAGTATGTTGAATTTAGACTAGTTTCTAGATTTAAAAAAATAATAATAATAATTAGTTGATTTAATAATAATAATTCACATAATTTTCTTAACAGAAAGTTCGCCAGGATACACGCCCTGTTAAAAACGAGATAACTCACTTCAGCCATCGCCATGCCTTGCATCGCTACAAGATGCTGGAGGAAGACCTAGTACAATGTGATATATGCGAGACAGACATTGTAGGCAAAGCTTGGGGCTGTCAAGATTGTAAATTCTTCATTCACAAGTCATGTAAAGACGAGAGATCAAACACATATCTCATTGTGGCAAAACACTCACCCTCTCATCTTCTTCCTGTTCTAAATCTGGAAAGTTCTATTGCAATGCTTGTCGTGACTTTGGCAAGGGCTTTCACTACCACTGCTTTCATTGCAAGTTCAATCTCCACATGGCGTGCGCTGGCACGCCCTATACTGTCTACGAGCAGCACAAAAACCCACTTACCCTTTGCTATGATTTTCCCATTGAGACTTCTAAAACTGTCTACTGTAAAGTGTGTGACGAGAAGATTAGCAAGAATAATTGGGCATACTATAACAAAGATTCCCATTTTATTGCTCATGTTTATTGTGCATTCAATAATAAAGAGAAGGATTCGATTCTTGCGATCCAGGAATGCTTACAATCGCTTCGAATGAAATGAGCAGCTAAATAGGCAATTTGTTATGTTACTCTATGTTGTTGATTCAGTTGTTGTTGTTGTTGTTGTTGTTGTTGTTGTTGTCATACAATAATGTTCATCTCAGCATTGATGCCGTTGTAATTTGCTTGATTTTCTATGTTTGTGTACTTTAATATGTAATGGTCATGTTTGATGTTCTATCCAATGCATGTGTGTACTCTTCATTCCATAATTAATTGTGTTGGATGTGTTTCAGGACTTTTCTTTTTAAAGAAGATTTGAGATCTTATTTCACTTAACTGTTTTACAGATGAATGTGTGGTATTTATACAACAACCTAACCTTTTTTACTCAAGACTAAGTATGATGAGTTAACTCTAACTAATTATACTAACTCTAACTAACTCCTTAACTAATTATGTTACAATAATAGCTAACAGATATTATAATGGATATGGAATAATATCACTGGACTCAGCTTGCAGCTTCTCACACGTAGATGTGGATGATAATGATGAAGTCTGTTTGAACTGCTGCTGAGCTCTAAACTGTTTGGGCTGTTGCTGCTGGATCTGGTTGTGAGCTTGGGTCTGAATGTGAGCTATACTTTCATCACCCCCGCAAGCTCATAAGGGAAGAAAGCAGCATGAGCTTGTCATGAAGAAAGTGAAACCGGGAGACTGGTAAAGCCTTTGTAAAAAGATCAGCAAGCTGATCAGAGTAGGCAACATGCTTGACAAAGATTTGTTTGGAGACAACTCGTTCATGGATATAATGATAATCAACAGCAATGTGTTTAGATTGAAAATGGAAAACAGGATTGGAACTCAAGGAAATAGAAGACAAGTTATCACACTAGAGAATTGGACATGGATGAGTAATGCGTAAATCAGTGAGAAGCATTTGAAGCCAACTCAACTCAGCTGCTACTTGAGCAAGAGCTCGATATTCAGCCTCAGTGGACGAACGAGATACTATAGGTTGCGTTTTGGCAGAGCAAGAGATAAGGTTAGGACCTAAAAAGACACAGCAGCCAGTAGTAGAGCGACAGTCACTGATACTCCCAGCCCAATCTGAGTCAGAGAAAACAAGAAGCACAAGAGGACCAGGAGTAAAGGACAGACCCTGATGAAGAGTACCTTTGAGATATCGCAGCAAATGTTTGACAGAAGCAAAATCAGCTTCAGTAGGAGAATGCATAGTTTGGCAAGCATGATTAACAGCAAATGAGATATCTGGTCGAGTAATGGTCAAATACTGAAGTGCTCCAACAATACTACGATAGAGTGAAGGATTGGAATATGCCACAGTTGCAGAAGACAGTGAAGATGGCTTGACAGACATGGGAGAAGGTGCTGGCTTACAATCAGCCATTCCAGCTTTAGTAATAATATCCAAGGCATACTTAGTTTGAGAAAGGAAATAACCAGAGTCAGAGGGAGTAATAGATACACCCAAAAAATAGTTGATAAGACCCAATTCTTTCATCGAAAAAGTAGAGTGCACATGAGTAATGAGAGAGGCAACATGAGCTAAATTATTTCCAGTGATTAGGATATCATCAACATACATTAGTAACACAGTCATGGTAGTAGTACTGTGTTGAATAAACAGAGAGGAATCGGATGAACTAATAACAAATTCATTAGTAAGAAGATAGCTCGAAAAGGTAGAATACCAAGCACGAGGTGCTTGTTTAAGACCATACAAAGCTTTAGTCAACTTACAGACAAATTAAGGTTTAGACTTGTTAACAAAACCTTGAGGTTGAGTCGTATAAACTTCTTCATCCAAGATACCATGCAAGAATGCATTTGAGATGTCAAGTTGTTTAATAGGCCAACTGTAATGAAGTGCCAAGCAGAGTAAAATGCGAATAGTGGGCTGTTTAGTAACGGGACTGAATGTCTCATGATAGTCTAAACCTTTTCTTGGAGATATCCTTTGGCTACAAAATGAGCTTTATGGTGAGCAATTGTACCATCAGAATTACGTTTGAGACGAAATACCCACTTACATCCAATAGCCTGTTTAGTGGGATGCAGAGGAACCAAAGTCTAAGTGGACTCTGATTGAAGAGCTGCAAACTCTTCATGCATAGCCTTGGTCCAGGCAGAAGACAGAGCAGCCTCTTTATATGAACATGGTTTAGAATCAGTAGAAGTAATGGCAGACAAGGTGTGATGAGCTGCCTTGGATCGAGTAACCATTGGATGAAGATTAAGAGAAGGAGCAATAGAAGAAGAAGGAAGGGAATAGAACTGAAGATCAACAACCAAAGAATCAATAGGAATAACAGGTGAAAAGGAATGAGATTAAGAGAAGGAGCAATAGAAGAAGAAGGAAGGGAATAGAACTGAAGATCAACAACCAAAGAATCAATAGGAATAACAGGTGAAAAGGAATGAGATAAAGGAGAAGAAGCAGTTGATGGAGAAGTAGGAGAAACAGCTGGTGCAGCTGATTGAGAAGTAGGAGGAATAACTGGTGTGGAATGAGAACAAGATGGCCAAAAGAAAGACTGATACTGAGACAATGAAGGTAAAAGAACATGCACAGAGGAATCAATGAAATGAAAGGTTTGCTCATGGAAAACAACATGCCTAGAAACATAAATGCGACCAGTGCTTGAGTCAAGACACTTATATCCTTTAATTGAAGGTATATAGCCAAGAAATACACAAGCAATAGAATGGGGCTAAAGCTTGTGATGAACATATGGCTTGAGCCAAGGGAAACACAGACAACCAAAAGGTTTAAGAAAATGATAGTCAGGTAATTTATGAAACAACAGTTCAAAAGGAGTTTGGTTGAAACTTAGAGCTGGGCATACGATTAATAAGGTGCACAGAAGTGGCAACAGTGTCAAACCAATAAGCAAGAGGAACACCAGACTGCTGAAGCAACACAATAGTAGTTTCTATAATGTGTCTATGTTTCCTTTCGGCAACACCATTCTGTGGTGGTGTATAGGGACAAGACAACTAATGATCAATGCCATGAGTACGAAGAAATTCTTGAAACTTAAGTCCCAGATATTCAGTGCCGTTATCAGTGCAAAGAATTTGCAATTTAACAGTAAATTGGTTTTCAACAAAAGCTTTGAATTCAATGAATTTTGCAAAAACTTCACTTTTAAAATGCAAAGGATAGAGCCATGTAAATTTGCTGAAATCATCAACAAACAAAACATAGTATTTAATGGAAGAAGAAGAATGAAATGGTCCCCATATATCACTATGGATAAGGGCCAACGGTTTATTAACAGAAGTAGTAGACAAAATGGCAATCGATGGCTTTTGGCCATACAACAATGCTTACAAGGAAATGAAGAACTAGAAACAATCTTAGGTAGTTTCAGTTTATTACAAATCAGTTGCATTTTATGTAAAGAATGATGACCTAAACTAGCATGCCAGGTAGAAGGAGCAGTAGTAGTGTTGAGGCAGACTTGATGAGAGGAAGATCTAGGAAGAACTGTTGGAAGATGATAGAGGCCATAAGAACTAGTACCTCTATAAAGAATAGCTTTGTCACTCTTGTCCTGAATCAGAAAACCAGAAGAATCAAAAGTAATAGAACAATGATTATCCGACACAAATTGATGAACTGAAATGAGATTTGCAGAGATTTTAGGAACATGAAGAAGCTGTGTAAGAGCAAATTTTTGAGAATGAGTTGATAAAATACTAGTACCTTTATGCTGAATAGGCAAGGCATTACCATCTCCAACCATGACCTGATCTGAACCTTGATATGGCTGATAGGATTGTAAATTTTGCAGATCATGAGTGACATGACTAGTGGCTGCAGAGTCTAAAAACCAATTGTCTGATGAAGAAGAAGTAGAGGCAATGTAGGCGTTATTCTGGAATGTGTTCTGAAACTCAGATGAAATATGAGAGGTCTTAGTGTTGGTAGACTGATAGGAAGTATCCATTCGGTACCAGTAGTTGAGAGTAACATGATTATGTTTGCCACAGATTTGACAAACCACAGAGGATTTGTCATTAGAAGTATGATAATCAGATGAATTGTTGTGATAACCTCGACCTCTTCTTCCTCTTTGGACATATCTACCACCAGATCTGTTTCCTCTGCAAAATTGAGATTGTCTAGAAAAAGAATTGCGGAAACCTAAAGACTGAGTAGAATTTTTCTGAGGATAACCTTGATATGCAGTTGAATAAGCCACATGTAGATCAGAAGAATTTTGTTTAGAAGCAGACTCTGCATGAATTGCCTCTGAATAGAGTAGTGATGACAGATGGAGATGGATTCAATCTTGCGCGAATTGTGGTTTTAAAAGCATTGTATTCAGCAGGAAGAATTCAATGTAAGAACGACCAGATCTTCATCTTCAACTGGTGAAGCAGCCATAGCCAACTGATCAGTTAGAGCTTTAATCTGAGAAAGATATTCTTCCATTGAACAGGATGTTTTCACAACATTATGAAGCATGTTCTTGAGCTGATGAATATGAGACCTTGAGAGAGAAGTAAAGCATTTCTCAAGTGTGCTCCAGACTTCATGACTAGTCTTGCAATGAAAAACTGTGGTGAATATTGTTGAGGATAATGTGGCTGTAATACAGCTCAGAAGATGTGAATCAATGAGCATCCATTGAGTGTATGCATCATTTGGTACCTCTCTGATATATTGAGAAGGAGGTGCAGTTGAACCATGAACATAACAGAGCAAACTAGTAGCTCTAAGAATGTTGGGAAATTGATTTTTCCAGACAATGAAATTGGAAGAATCAAGCTTAACAGTAACAAAAGAATTTAGATTGGAGATAAGAAGTGAAAGATTTGAAGGAAGCTGAGGAGAAGAAGGTAAGGTCGCCATTGATGGACCTTCAAACTCGTGAGAGCAATATTGGCACTGATACCATAAAGAAGATTTGAGATCTTATTTCACTTAATTGTTTTACAAATGAATGTGTGGTATTTATATAACAACCTAACCTCTTTTACTCAAGACTAACTATGATGAGTTAACTCTAACTAATTATACTAACTCTAACTAACTCCTTAACAAATTCTGTTAGATATTATTAATGGATATGGAATAATATCACTGGACTCAGCTTGCAACTTCTCACGCATGGATGTGGATGATGATAATGAAGTCTGTTTAAACTGCTGCTGAGCTCTAAACTGTTTGGGTTGTTGCTGCTGGGTCTGAGTGTGAGCTATACTCTCATCACTTTTCTAATAGTTGTTCACTGAAAATACTATCTTTCCAATAGTTATTTGCAGGTTTATTTTGTTTTTTTTCCTCTCTCTCTCTCTCTCTCTCTATATATATATATATATATATATATTATAATATATAAAGTAAAAAGGCTGCGGCTAGTGTTGACACATTTGTGTCTCATATTTTTGGAACGGATAGGGTTGGGAGTAAGAGTTGCATTTGCGAGTTTCGGTTTTGGTTTGGGTTTGTGTTTGAGTAGGGCAGCAGAAATGGGGGTGGGATAGAGACTTCCAACCCGTACCTTACTTATTGTTATTCCTAAGCGTGGGTCATATTATAATGCAAACTAATCTCTAACTCCAAACTTATATAATTTAATTCTTGTGCTATTTTAAATTATATTGCACCATTAGAATTACAAGTTGGAATTACTAGTTGGTTCATTTGGGAAGTGGGTTGGCTTTTTAGTTTTTTAGTTATTTTAACTTGGGACTAAAAAGTCTCGTTTGGAAAGGATTTTTTGACTTTTTATGAGAGAAAGAATGTAATGATTATGAGTTAGATGTAATGTTTTGTCTTATTAGACTAAAAAATTTATTTTATCTTTTTATAGTTAAAATAATTCCAAACCCAACTCAACACTTCTTCCCAAGTGAAGCCATTGTACATTACTAACAAATTAACTTTTACACGGTCAACCAGTAAAAGCAAGTATTACTATTGACCACCATTATGATGATACTGACACATAAGCAAAGAGTGGTTCCCACCTAGACCCAAACTCAAGGTCACCCTCATCAGATCTTTATTTTGTCTTTACCATTCTTTATTGGGAGAAATACCATTTTTTATTGGGAGAAATAACTTGACAGTGACGTCTTAGACAAAATAATTACAAAATAATAAAAAAACATTATAAGTATTAATAATTAAAATTATAAATTTTTTCATTAATTTGTAATTAATTTTTATTGTCACCACCGCACTATAATTATCCCTTCTTTATCCAAACTCTTCATCCTTAAAAGCTATTCATCCATCGAACTTCCATCATCTCCACAGTTTAAACAATATACCATTGTGAAAAATCTAGAAATCCCCCAGATGTTGATTTGTGATTATGTATCAATTTAAGCAGAATATAACAATCCCAATCAAACAATCAAGACAAAATGACACAACGATTTTAACGTGGAAAAATCACAATTGGACACCTATAACTGTGATTAGAAAACCACGGGCAACAGCCACAAAACAATCCACTAAGAAGATTTAAAGGAATTACACAGGTATACTCTCAATTACCTAGCGAATCCACGCCTAATTGAACCAACCTCTATGTGCCTCTTCCAACCCGTCTTCACCTCGGAATTGTCTTTACGATGAGC